CCAATCTAATTAAAATTATATCTTCACATCGCTCCCGTTTACTGATATGTCGCGTTGAAGATCTAACAACATCCCGTAGAGGGTCATGTTCAGGCGACCTTTGCATTAACCAATCAGATGAGAGCTTACGCATTTCTGTAAGTGATGATGTAATGATTTCGGAACACACTTGCTATGATAGAAGACCGAGAGGTGTCAAATGAGCATCGAAAATGGCGGCGCCCATGACACCACGCCGTGTCTATCTACAAGATTATTTTTTTTACACAACCAATACAATTTTCTAGTGACGTTTCGATGACTTGTACGATATGTACACTGTCGCCTTCATCAGACAAATGACTAGTGAAGCGACTGGTTCGAGTCATTTCGGTACATGTATAACAACTATTGTACAAATCTTACAGCGTTGCCAAATTGACATCGATTTTATGGACAACTCGTACACATTTTACACCTTTGTGTGTATACGCTTCAGTCTGGTCATTTGTCTGATGAAGGTGACTGTGTACATATCGTACTAGTCATCGAAACGTCACTAGAAAATTGTATTGGTTGTGTAAAAAAAAAAAAAAAAAATGGAAAGAAATTTCGTCTGTAGAGTCCTTTTCATTAAGGACCTGCGTACCACTGCCTTTAACTGTAACCAAGTATTGGAGGGTACTTTTTTACAGCAGGACTATTTATTTAATAAATAATTTCTGAAAAGAAAACCATACCTTCCGGGTCTTTCACGAGAAATGATAAAGATGCAATAAACAAAATGGTATCAACAACCGTTTTTTAAGTGTAAAAAAATCACCCAGATTTGAACCCTGAACTTCAGGCTGCCAATCTAACGCACTAAAGGCTGAAGATACTAGCTGGTCGACGGAAGTGTCCTGGTCGAATTGTTCTACAGTTGTATCCAAACAGAAGCTAAGGGGAAATAACTGTATATATATATTACAGTGGGACAGGGATCGTTAACTCATTCACCCCACTGTATTGCACATTTGTTTTTATTTTGAAACCCACAGAAACTTTAAACCATTTTGCGCCCAAACAAGAGAATACAGTGACATTTAAAATAGACCTTTAAAAAAATGATAAAACAATTGACACTATAAGACAATTTTTCCTTCTGTTTCCGAAGAAACAAGATGGATCTATCTTGAATCCATCGATGACTTTTGCCCTCGATTTACGTTTTCCTTTACGTGTAATTTTACGACTTTTAGTGAGACTGGGTCCAGGAGGCCAAAATATTTTTGGACAGTGACATTTGTTTTATCATAATGATAATTATCATTATATTTATATGATTAAGACATTTTGGTCCTCAAACTAACCCTATCAAACACAGTCATGTAAATCTCAAGTAAATTAGATTGATGATTCAGTTAAATTTGTTAAGGGCCAAGCTTACCAAGAAGACACCAGGTAAGACTCTTGAGAGCTTGGCTGACACATCCCAGATCTTTTGCCTTTTTTTTCACACTTGGATGAGTACGAGTATCTCGGATCATATGTCCTGGGTGGTATATTTTCAGCACACGCAAATCTTGTTTGATGTCATGACCAACCAAAATTTTGCCCTGCAAAACAGTATCAAATTCAATCAGAGTGTACAGTACAAGAATTCAGTGTTTTCACTAATATTGAAATAAATGGTTGACTTGAAAACAATAGTTGGTTGCACATTCACTTATTCAGGATTATTACCCATATGCGCCGTTGTGCCCAACCTGTTACTATGATGTTAACACACCTATAAAGCTATACATGTTCTGCAAAAACAGTCGGTGCCAATGCAAGTTACTTTCTACACAAACAATGTATGTATTTAATGTGTCCCAATGTTTCAACACTGACT